CTTCCTCTGCCGTTCGCTCGCCTGCTCACTGCTTACCAACTCTGCCTGCGCTAGCCAGCATGGAGCCGTGATTTTTGCTCGCCTTTCCCCTCTAGCGACTCGACCGTGCCTTTTCTCGGCAATCGCTACGCTAGCATATGCTACACAGAACTTCTTTCTGTATCGATGAATTGCGATCGAAACGAATTCAAGCATCGAAAGAATAAGAGACACGCGTCTCGATTCAAGTTAGAGCTACGATATTTTCTCGCGCAGCTCAGCTTAGGTGTGTATATATATCTAGGTTAAATCGTTGAAGACCTACGTCAGACTTCGTATACGGTACAATTCTTGAAAGTTTGCTGTACCATGCGCCAACACGGCGACCATCGTCTAGGAAGTTTTATTAGCGTCGAATGAGGGGAAAGGCCGGTGAGGCAAGGGGATTTTGCCTTCTAGGAAAAGTGTCCGAGGCCGTGTCAGCTATGCTGGTAGTGGTGTCTCGTTAGGGTTGAGGAGTCGTTTCTATTATAGTCTCGTAATATGATCTGTATTGTTCTTCGTTGATTACTACGAACATTCTACCGACTTACCGTTGTAAGTCATCATCGAACGGTAGTTAGGTATTCATAGTTTTCGTTGCATTTTTATTTTTCGTTGGAATGTTCTTTCCTATTCTCTCGGTTATCACTGAATGAGATTTCAAAGCGTGCATGCGGATCACACGTTTCTTGCATATACGTAGTGGAATGAGATCATGTTGTTTTTGTGGCGTGAGCCGACAGTTAATATGTTTAGCTTTAAGCGCGGTTGCCATGTCGCTGAGTTGCACGTAGGCCGCAGCGTATACGGACGCGGAGAGACCTGTGAGCAATGACGCAAGCCGCGTGTTAGTATATACTTTGGAGAAACAAGAGTGAGCGAGACGGATCTCGCAGAGAAGAAACGAACCGAGGCCTCGTAAATTTCCACGATTCGTACCACCAGCAGAACTGAGACCCAACCAATTCTCTTGTCGTTCCACGAAGGAACACCCTAGTGCATTTCTAAGAATCTGCCTGGTTATTCTCACTCTGTTAATCATTCCGATTCCGATTCCGATTCCGAGTCGCTCCTAAATATGTATGCACATGTGATAATTGCTGACATTGAAACGTGCCTATTGACCTTCGCATAGTTTTGCAAGCGTGTCTCATCTTTTTAGTATTTTATACTAGTCGTTGAAAACAAAAGATTGCATTTCTTTTCCTTTTTTTATTGAATGCTACGTTTTCTCCTTTGTTATTCGACTTTTTGTATTTGAACAACCGAGCTCTCTGTCTGTCAAAGAGAAGCGAGAGTAAGAACGATCGTTGGGAATAATATCGGTAAGAGGCATAGCAGTAGCAGACCGGCAGTCGCCTAAGTACGCCACGACGGCTGGCACGTTCATCGGATTTGTCCTTGGGACCGAAGGTAGGTGCAGCTCGAAGTCCGAGGACGTGGCAACGCAGCGGCCAGGCTCCCCCTCCATTGTCCGCCGGCCGGTCTTGCCAGACAGGGTGTCGCCAGCTCGGTCGGCTGGGCCGTCCGGGTTACTGCGAGCGGAGAGGGGAAACCAACAACCCGATGGTGTAAAGAGGCAGGGGGATTCTGTGGGTTAGTGTCTGTATAAGCGTGTGACGGAGCAGGCATTAGGGGGGAAGGAGCACGTTATGAGAGGGAATCGTCCGAACAGATTATGTAGGCGAAACAAAGAAGAACGAGAATAGGAGAGAAAAGGAAAGAGGAGATCTTGTAGTTCGTAAGGTCGAACGTGTGTGCGTGTTATACGATCGGTCGTGGACCTACATTCACGCGGGTAGCCATATTTGAAAGCTCGCGTCCCGCTGGAATGTAGCCTGCAAGGGCCCCTTCGTTGATTCCCCCCCCTCTCTCTCTCTCTTTTCTCCTTCCTCAACGCCATCCTATGCGATTCTCCGATTCAAAGCTCAACACTCGACGACGATGCTCGAACGTCTACCTTCGTTTCTACTAATCCCTTTGGGGCCTTTTTCTCTGTCTCTCTCTCTCTCTCTCTCTCCTTGCCTTCCTATGGTTTTCCCTTCTATTTGCCCTTCGCCCCGCTCTTCCCATCTCTCGGCATTCCATGCTTGGCGCCCCAAATGGTCGCGTAACCAGAGACGCGCCTCTGGCCTGGCCTGGCCTGGCTTACCCTGGTCGCGCCAGACTTCTCGGCGCCCAAATGATGTACGCCGACTATTCTTTTTCCCTCTTTCTCTTCTATATTCGTTTATTTCGGCTCCGTAGCCTTTGCTTTCCTTGTTCTCTTTTCAGGCATTCGTGTATGTGTACGTGCTTGCGTGCGACAGTGAAAAGATAGAATCACCGGATCGAGAGCAAGCGAGATAAAACGCTTCTATTTACCATTGCTTCGACTTGCGACACTTCACCTTTGAATTCTGTGTACCGTACTACTCATGTAGCCCTTACCTACCTTATTTGTGTGGCAAGAACCACGTGAGAATGCGAGTGTGAGAGAAAAGGGCATAGCGGTCGCAATTTCTTGCAAAAAATGCACTAGAAATGTTCTTTCCGTTATCCTTGTCTACGTTACATGGATTTAGCAAACGCGAGACAGGTAGTCGCCTACGATATTTATTTTGATCGAACGATTGGCCAAATTTTGTCTGAGGCTAAAAGTGTTCAAGTTTTCTTATTATTGGCCACTATCCAGTATGTATGTATATTTCGAGAAAGCCTCGTTTCTTTCAACTAATCATATCTTTATTCGTCCCTACATTGAAATTGTAGAGAAAAGTCCGTATATCATGACACGTGATAGATAATATAAGATAATATGTATTTAGATTTCTTTTTTGTCCAGAACGAAGAGCGGCACTTGCTAAAATTGCAAACTCGAGTGTATTTACGTACATGCTAACTGGGAGAGCGCCACACGTGCAACGGCGCATATAGTTCTATTGCTGCGTGTTAATATTTGCATTGCATATATACGTTATCCTCTGTGTGCATATGTGTGAGCACGTACATATGTATCTTAAATCTAATCGCATGCAAATGAATTGTAATAAATTGCGTATTTATAAGAATTTGTATACTCCAATAGACTTTAAATTTTGAACAATTCGTCAGAGAACGAATCGCATTATTTTGTCCGTCTATAGATAAAATCAACCTGGTTATCGATACATATATGTACACAGATTAAATGTCAGTTGGTTGCATCGTTTATTTACCCACATACGAATGCAGAAATATATACCTTTTCTGTAGGCGGTCACACGATGGCGCCTACTTGCGCATATCTGTGCATACTTGTATGAATTCGAAGCTAACCTCGCAGAATGAAACTTTCGTTTCATCGGCATTCTTCGATTCGTTGCACAATCCATTCGCTTTTTCATGTTATCACCAAGACAAAGAGGAATGGAATAAAAGAACATAAAAGAACATGCAAGTAAAAAGAAGAAACGTTATCGAGAACGAACGCGACGCAAAGATCGAAGTGCACACGAATAAAGCGAAATATAACAACGCCCACAGCTACTCCACGAGAAACGTACACATGCTAACCTTTATCTTATCACTGACGAAGGCGTATCGAGGTTGACGAGGTTGCCATACGTTTTTTGTTGGTACGACGGTGAAAGACAACGACAATGCGGATGACCGACAATCGGAACGATTACTAGCATCTTTCATACTTGGTTTCCATGAAAACCTTGAATTCTAACACGGGATCGTTACGGGTGTAGCCTTCCTCTGACCTCAATGGCTACCGCATCGCGACTTACTTTATCGACTGAGCAATAACAAATTAAAGGATTAAAAAGCCGCGTATTATCCGTTATTCGTTTTATCGACATTCAAATGCTATTTTTGACCCAATGTTTCATTGAACTTTTCTTCGTTTCCTTCCGATTTATTGATTTAATTTACTTGCTTGCGTTTGCATATTAATGTATACTAGGATTTTTTTTTAATCAAACTAAACAATTCCGAACTATTCATGTTATTTAATATTTTCAAATGCATTTTTAAAATATTTTAGATTGCATGAAGCTAAATGCAGCCAATGATATTTGCCGCTGTTCAACTAATTCAATCATTTCATAACAAAATCTCTTTTAACGAGCGACTGAAAATATTTATCATTTAGATAACCGCTGTCTTCGAGAGTCGAGAGCAGTTAAATTTGTTATCAATTAATGCTAGCCTTTGAAACCTCATTAAAGCGTGAGTCGTCATCGATATATAATTCTGTAGAGCGTCTATAACGCAGTGGATACATTGAAATTCACATGATAATTGCAATCAAGGATGAATGTGTTTCTTGTTTTGCTCGTTCAATGCTTAGCTAGTAAACTTCAAAAACTCGATTGACTGACTCGCGTTAATGTTACAGAAATAATTTAAAAATATGTTTTTGATGGATGCAACTGCAATCTATTTTTAAACAAAGATGCCGCAATTATTTTTATCTGCAATCAACTGACTATTCATCGACACTAACCGTATCAAGTGATTCATGTTATTGCTTGCTGCAATAACAAACTCATACATGTGCATCTTTAATACATGCTCCTACACAAGTTGATTAATCACAAGTTCGAACCGATCATTGGCTGTCGACCAATTGTTTCAATTTGTTTACACGGTCGGTTGTTCAAGAATCCTGCGGCACATCGATCGACGCTTGTTAATAGCGATCTCAAATGCATATTGTAAATAGGATATTTGAAATTTGATGGATATATTTGCAATTTAATAATAATTTGCGTAATGCAAACATTATCTACCAGTTGTTGAATAAAAAGAAAGGGAAACAAGATTTTTTCGAAATTGATCTTCGTTTAATTATTAAAACATTCGCGTACATAAATAGAGTACAAATATATGTGATATTGATACGTGTACTTATGTGTGTCTGCATCTCAATACCTATTACGATTCAATAATATATATACATTTGTTTTTTCCATTTCTATCCTTGAGCGTCGACTCTTTTCGAAATGTATTTTTTTTTTTTTTTTTATCACGTCGAAGTCAGGAACAATGGAAAATAACATAAAGAAAAATTTGATGGATACTAGCTTGTACTTGTCTGTAACTGTATTGTCCCTTTCTTCTTTTTTCACAAAGTAATCATTCGAGAATATTCGATGTGTTTTATATAATAAAAGTATAATATTGCTAATATTTTATGCATTTTATGCATACCTACATTATATTTTCGTTCTATCTAAATTATGTAAGATATGGATCATCATGGGTTCTTTTAAAAAATACATTTCAACATCAATTCTTCACGAAGGTTTCGTTAAAATGATTTATTTTCATTTTGAAATAATGGCGTCAAACTGCTTCAACGATTGATAAGGGTGACTAAATGGAAATATGATGTGATTCAAATACATGTACATCAGTATTGGGATATCTATTCGATATCGAGAATTAAAGTACCTGCACCTAATAATCCCAAAAGGATGGTTTTTCTCATAATTCGTTTCGGGCGAACAGCATTTTCAACTTCAATTCCATGATTAGTTAATCTTCGAATTATTCTAATAACATTGAATACCTTTATCTTTCATCTTTTTCTCTAATTACAGTAACTATAATTTTTCAAATACCCGATAGTAGGTTCCATGAAAACAAGGAAAACAGTTTTGAGCGATCAAAGAAGTGTCAGTATAACTTCAGCATGAAATCTATTAATCAAAGAATGCTGTTTCTTATTCGTTTCTTCGCTTCTTCTTCTATTTATGCTTATATGTTCTGTTTATTTTCTACCTTAAACGCTAGTTGTATCGTTAGAAACGTTAGTGAAGCGTGAACCTTTAAATATCGCTAGTCTTGATACGGGTTACAAGTAGATTTCCGCGGAATAAAAAAATGTGGCTAGAGTTGTGCCGAACGATGCTTGATCTAAGATCGATCTATTTATCTCGTTCTGCAACAACTCGAGGAGACCACGGAGAGTTACATCGAGCGACGAAGGGGGAGAGATTTGTCGTTCGTTATACCTTATTCTCCTTGCAATCCGATCAGAAGTAGCTCTTAAGAGATAAGACAGTTAGCTGAGTCTAAGATGTCCTTAAATAAAGTGTACTTATTACAACGTTTGTCATCAGGGTGTCCCTGGTTATTCTTAGAGAAAAGAACATAGTAATCACGGATCGGGGAACAATTTTTGTCCAATCGACCAAATGTATTATTTTGTTTTCTCGATACGAGGAACATAACGTCATCAGAGATGTCCACGCGATGCGTAATTCCTTTATCTCCCATAGTTTCATCGTTCTCGAGAAAATGCATGTTCCGCGACTCGCTACGAAATATTGCACGCAAGATCCCTGCGATCTTCGACCCATGCGATCTAAAAGATCCGATATACATATACGATAAATATTATGTATGAATGAATGGAATATCAGATGTAAAACGCGTAAGTGTAGAGATTGTCCCGTAAGATATTCTGAAATCAATATTCGTTGTCTACGAAATCCATCCTCAACTCTATGTAAAACTAATCCCCCTTGCGAGGCGTTGCACAATTGACAAGCCTCGTGATTCTCGCCGCATCGTTTAATGTCGTGTGAAATTATATTTAAAGTGTTCTATAATGAGTGTGCTTTTAACATCGTCAATGAAAAGATTTTTTTCAGAGCATTGCATAAGCAACTTGTGACTTCCGCCATGTGCAAGTTCTCGATTTAACGGCGAACAATAGATCTTGTTTGATTTAGCTTTCTTTTTTTAGAGATACTATTCGTTTCCCCTTTCTAATTTTTCTACGCCTTTTAACATTATATGTATCGTTGGAAGTTCTTTGCTAAGGGGCATCTGTATTCCGATTAATTCAATTGCTTCACGAATCGAATGCGACGTTTCGAATATCATGTTTTCGCCTAATGTATAAATGATAAGTTCTCGATAGTAGAGAAGCATCGCGACAAACCCGAAAGCGCAACGTTTGAATGAAAAATGTATTCGCATAGTGTGTGGAAAAATGAATGT